CTGCACCGATGCACTGCTAATATACTAGGTATTAACAGGAATGTACGAATTTTAAGATATTTACTTGTATGATTAGATTACTTGTATATCACTGAAAAAAGGTATAAAAGCCACATTTGTCATACATTGTTATTATTCTCTTTCACAAAGGCATTCAATTGCTCTAATCTGCTATTGTGATATTTAGAGAAGAGGGTTATTCTCTGCGGAATATTGCAAGCAAATTGAAGAAATGCTTCGGAGTACGGTAAAACCGTTTTCCTTAAAACTCGTAGTGATTCCAAACTTTTTGTGTATATGATCAAAAAATTACGCAAAAAAGAAAGAAATTCGACTAATTTTACGATCTTTACTCGAATAATTTAGTCGCATAAGAAATGAAGAATTATTCGAATAAATAGGTAGAACAATTTGTTACGAATAATAAATAATTGTTATTCGAACAGAATATTCGACTGCAAAGAATTCAATTTATTTGCAACTGTGATTCGTCGAAGGTTCCCATTTCTCGTACTAATTTCCAGTCTCGCGAATTTACGAAAAAACGTACCTCCAACGAACCAACTTTCGACGTTCGATCAATCAACGATTCATCGTTTGCGAGGGGAGAAGTGCGGTAGCGACATTTTCAGCTCCGTAAAGTGAAAATATAAAGCAGAAGGTGCTCGGACGGAGCAATCATGCAAATGTAAACAGGATCGATTTTTATTCCGTCTTCGCAGTCTGCCTCAATGTGCCGTCTAACTAGCTGACGCCGCAGCCGTAAGCTGTCGACGCCTCAAAAGAATTCATTTCCATAATTATCTTAATTCCGTGAAACCTCGTGGCTGTCGGCGACTGTGAGAGAAAGAGACAGTAATTTATCGAATCTCATTTGACACATCTTTTGCGCTGCTACGCGAACAGGTTACGACTAATCAGCAACGTACAAAAGCAAATGATTCCGTTAATTAATCAAGGTTGAACAGGATTCCCTTGTCTAGAACTTTTCGTGTCACTGTATAATGGTGTCAAGGATCTAAGGGAACTCCGAAACAGGTCCGGCTTTTCAATTTCTAAGAGAAACTGCTGTTCTCATACTCGCGAGATTACGTTAAAAGCAATGGAAAGTTCCTTCCTGAGAAGTGAAATGAATTTCTGTCTCGCTTCGATTAATATCCGGCGTTCTTTTTCTCTTGAGAAATTTTTTACTTTGAATTGCACTCGCAAGATGGAAAACGCGAGATAAGTGCACGAACAAATGTTACGAATATTCCCGAAACTATTTCGGCCAAAAATATACGAGCACAGAGCAATTAATATGCAGTAGCCGAGACGGAAACCGGAAACAAAATCTGATGGCTTATAATTTCTGGTTAACTGTACCGTTATGGGCCATGTTAAACGAACGCTGGGAATCGCGCGCAATTGTTGCAGCACGACCATGCAAATCTTCTCAAGAGATAATTAAAACTCTGCACACTTTCCAGTGAACAGTGTTTGAATAAACGGGACGCGGAAGATTAAATCCTTCCCTGGAATAATGGAATAGGTTGGAGAAAAATCGCTCTAATCGAGAGCTGAATTATTAATTCTAATCGGCGCGTTGAGGATGATGTTCAGGGAAAAATGACGAAAAATCGACAGTGTCAAGTAAGCGCTTCATTTATAAATTGTTTAGATTACAAATTTTTATGCAGATATAATTCGCTACAAATGAAATATAGCAATAATTCATTGTATTGTTCTGTATTGTATGTACACTTATTCATTTTACTATAACACGCAATAACGTTATACTTGTACATGTACGTATCGACAGATTAAAATGCAACACTTTCTATACAGACTGGTTCGTGCAGCTTTCAATTAAAATTTCATTAACTCCAAAGGACCTAAAATAATTAACGCTTTATACAATTGAACATGTTCGTTGCTAAAACTTCGTGAAGCCGTTTTATCTATCCTCCACGCGAATATTCTATTACACGCGTGACAGGTTGTTATAGCGAAATAATCGATTATAAAATACCTTAAATGTACGATGAAAAAAGCTCGTTCGACCGTGATGTTACAAGTTACACGTGCTTTTACGTTTTAGCTGCGATAAACGATCAGAGGAACGCGCAACGGCAGGAGCGAAGCGTAGAAAAACATTATGTTATGCATTTAAATTGTGCGTCTAACGGATTTCGGGGACGCGCCCTTTTGCGTTCTGTGTGCCTTGCACGATTCAATTGTTCATTGTGCACAGTGTTGCGAGGGTATTGATAGCGCGCGAGGAATCTCTTTGTCCGCCCCTTGCCCGATGTCCCGCAATCGCCGACAGACTAAAGTTGGTGTAATAGAGGGGATACGTAGCAACGCTAGATCGTCACGTGACGATGCGTAAGTTAGCTTTTTGTCCAGGACACTTCTGTGTCCTCCTATCCGAGACTCACCGATAAGATTGAGGGACGATAGAAATTTATGGACGATTGCGGGGGATGCGACGTTAGGGAAACTCCGCGCGCCATCAATTCCCTGGCAACTCTGGTTGTGCGTTACTGAACATACAAATCTGCATGAAAAAAACCACCTGAAAAGATCAATTTCTCACAAAATAATTTCTTTGATTGTGGATCAAACGATAACTATGTACACATTTCCGATTTTAAAACAAAACGACGTTGACGTCCCCTTGACGCTTTGATTGGCAATCCAGTAATCTCACAAATCATACATAATCGCAGTAATTTACTTATCAAAATAATTCATTTTGCAAATACTAATCAAATTTGGTACACTGAATAATTCGGTATAAGAATTCTTTTTTAAATCTTGGAAATAATTCCGTTCCCCACTTTCAGCGGATATAATAGTCAAATTGATAATACAATGTACGTAATATTTACTTGTTACTTAATGACAATAATTCTTATGCATCATCGACACTCTAGCGGTCCATCTTCGCTAACTAAACCTTAACCCTTAAATGCATGATTTTTTGTTTTGAATTTTAAAAAGTCGTTTTTTATAGAAATGTAGTCATAGGTTGCGTAAAAAATAAATAAAAAAATCTAGGTTATAATATTGAGCATTTATTTTGAAAAAAAGTTGTATGTAGACTTTTGGCAACAATATGCGTTTATTACTAAAATTATTGTTGACGTAAACAAATGGCTAAAAATCTGGCATATATCCAATAAAATTTTCAAATGCAACATCAAACATTCATGGCTTACCTGACAACAGATGAGAAGTATTTTTTTTTCAATTAGATAAATCACTCCTTTGTAGGGAACTCGAAAAAAGAAAATATCTCTCCAAGTAACACATTGAAGGTTATCACCCACCACATTCAAATGTCAAAAAACATATAACTTACTCGCCAAAAGTAACGTCAAGTCTTTTCTTTCACACATGGTCTATTGTCTATTGTTATCAACGTGTGTTCGGAAGCGCACATACTCAGGTTTTTGAATAAAATTAAGTGGAACTGGAATGTAGACAATTGGCAACAATATGCATTTAAGAGTTAAACTACTGAAACCGCATCGTTGACGCAGTTCTGCTATAAGCGCACCAAAGAAAGATATTTTTTAGCAGTTTTTATCGTGACTCTGATCGACGCTGCCACGACTTTTACCGCGGCAGCAACATAAACGTAGCCCGACGCTATGGTGGCTAAGCGTCTCGCGTTTCAGCCGGAAAAATTGAAGGGGGGGCATTACCAGATGTCTTGACATATGGTAATCAGCGAGACGTGTTATGGAACGTTCGTCGTTTCTCTTTTATGGAGAACGGCGAAGGCGAGACTGCGGGTCCGAATTGAATCAGCATGGTGTTCCCAGTACGTATAGCCGCTTGCGTAACCGTTCAGACCTCTCCCGCTACTTACGAGCACAGACTCGTCGCGTAGACGAATCCTTTGAAGTCGATCACCAACGAAGAAGCAATTTCGACGCTGAGGACTCGTTACAGGTCGTCTCATCGTGGGCGGTGTTCTATGTCGATAATACGATTCGACGAAAAGTCCTCTGAGGCGACGGAGAACCGAGTGAGCCACGATATCTGCTGAAGACGTTGAATTCAAAATGAGTTCGGGACCGGCGCGGCGGCGGGGTCTTATATTCCGCCATGAATTTGCTTACAGGCTTTAATGCAGCTCTAAATTCGACGGATAAGAAGCACGTCTATTGTTTGGAGAATCTTAGGTATGAATAAAATGAAAGTTTACCGTCTTACGGTTTAGCGACGTTCTTATACCGCCAGCGAAGTCATTCTTCGTTATCGATCATAAGCAGAAGAAATACATTTTGTGGAATTTGTGATGTAATGAACGCATTCGCTATCAGCGTTACATATGTGTAACGTTAACGATTTCACACAGTGCATGTCAATGGAATAATTTTATGTACGTTGATATTGTAAAACCACGGTAAATATACACCGTCGTTGACAAAGCTACGTCGACATCTTTTAAAATAACTTTTCTAACGTCGGACAAAACTAGTTGAATTTCTTGGGGATGTTAGACGGATTAGTTTACTAGACAATGTGTACAAAAATGTTCGCAACAATTTTATCTGCATGATTTAAATTTCTGTTACATACTCGGACAAGAAGGTTGAAAAACATCCGGCTGCAGTTTTTGCGAAAAGATTGTTACTTATTGTTTAGCAATCTAGCTCTTGTATCATTTCAGAACAATTCAAATCGATCTTTAAGAAGTTAATTATTATTATTATTCATATATAATTAATATAAATTAATCGTTTTAATAGGTGTCTACATATGTTTGTACGAACATTGCAACAATCGAGATATGAAGTAAGAAAATAAGAGAATAAGAAAATAATTTTCAAGAGTACGCCGTATATAAGTATAATATATCCAAAATAGTGTTGCAATTTGCAGCTCGTCCCCGACCAGGGACGTAACTAAAGCGAAAATTGGGGAGAACTAATTAGCATCGAAGAAGCCGGGTTTCTCGCAGGGAAGAATAACGGTTGCTGAGCTCTGTCCTCTTTTTGTTGTAGGTGCGAGGGTGGCTGGCTTCAGCTGGATGGCGGCGCTCAAGTTTGCGGTTCCAACGAACGTTTTATTCGGCCGGTCGTCCTGTTTTCCGACAAACAGGTCCCGATCTTCCACATGCAGTAAGTATATACATACATGTACGTTCTATCGATCGTTTTTATTTGATCGCGAAGCAGCCTCTGCTTCGCCAATCCTGCAGTGGAGAGGGCAAAAAGAGAACCGACCTGGCATCGAGTGAAATAAATTCATTTGACCTTTTTTATTTTCTATCGGCCGAATGCTTCGTTGCCGATATATTAAATAGCTGATACCGTATTCCAATGGGGTGCTCGTTATTTCAATAACTAATGTATTGAGCTGGGGATGGGCGGCCGGACTACCTTTTTAATTAACGGATCACAGAACCGTTTCTTTTGTATTTTAATATCGAACGCACTCGCCGCTCTCGCTGCTTTTATAGAATTACACCATAAATCGTGGAACAGTAACACATTCTTTTGTTCATATATGTATACTGATACATTCAAGCAATTTGGAGATCGAAGTATCAAACTATAACTTTACAAAATCGTTGTAACGCAGTCTTTAACTAATGCGAAACATTTTAAGGAAACTATTGGAAACACCTCACGAATTGCTATTCCATTTTGTAATTTTATATTTCATCATATGGTTTCTAATTCATTTCGAATTCTTCCGCAATTGCTCATCTGCAAAGAAACGACTTACCGGTGTACTCTTTTCATTTTATTTCATTTTTATTTTAATATCTCGTGAAATTACTTTGCAATGTTTTAGACAGATAATTTTCAGCTTTATAGGAACCAGTGAACTGCGTTACAAATCTCTACCGCGTGTTCACAGAGTTAACGCTGTATGAGAATGGAAGAGAGCCTTGTGTAATTTTCTGATGAGGTTTACTGGTTCTCCGATTTTCAAATAATAGTCGTTGCCATAGCACGTGGTCAATGTTCTGCCTTCCGTATTCATATTGGCATTTAGGATCGGTTGCAATGCCTATTCGAGCGAGTGAAAAGGCAAGATCTACATGTATTATCGTTGTTACAAATTCGGGTTAATTGCCAAGGATTTGGCTGTTTCTATAGGGCCTGTAAAGGGCATTCACCGATATTCTGAAACGCTTAATTGAAACATTTCAATAGCTATGATATGTTTTAATAAAACATTGGAATGTTTGAATGAAGCAATATCGACACAGCAATATGAACTTGTTAGAAACGGCGCAACGCAAGGCTGACTCTGAATGTACATAACTGAAAAAGAATTCCGCCGGTCCGAGTTAAATAACGAATTTCGTTACATTAAATAGGTTTGATCATGTTTCTCGCATTAGCAGGAAACTCTCGAACTTTAATGGAACGTACAAATGGGATGAATCGCAGGCTTACGAAATCGATTTAACTTCGTTTCGCGAATTACCACGGACGCGAGGCGGAACCTTTGTTACAGAAGATCTGTAAGTAACTGGGCGAAAGAGATAGAAAGAGATAGAAATTCGAGCTCCGTAGACCGGGAACACGATTTGAGTTAAGTGCTTTTTATTACTACGAAACCATGGCTATTTCAGTTAGGCAAACCGATGATGTACGCACGAATGCCAGACGCGTATACCATGATTCGTTATCATTTACTGCATACCTCGTGGTGTAACGATAAATGTGCTTTCCAATTTGAAAAGTTATATTTCCTTGGATATTTCATGTTACATCGCAAGATACGTTAATATTTATTTCGACCACAATTTCTCTGTCAGTTGGCTCTGTTGTTGACTCGTCGTATACTCGTCGTGCAAAAATGGCAACATTTTTTGTTACGATATACTCGTCGAAAAGATCTAATTTGTTAACAGGTTATTATTGAACAAATTTCATCACGAGTCGGACTTGTCAAGATACGGCAAAGATTTAAGCGAATAAAAATAGTCTACCGACGAAAGAACGGAGAATGTATCTTCACAAAAATTCCCATTTCCAGAAAGAAAACACTCCTTTCGTCCAGTCATGCAAATAAACGTCGTTTCCGCTCTGTTTGCAAGAAAATCTTTCAATTTCTGTTCGCGTGTATCACCTCTAAAATAACCGTGAAATGTATTCGCGCGGAAGGAATTAAGCAAAGAAGGAAATAACTTCGCTAAGAGGTATTCACGGAATTTACTTCTCTGTTGGAGGAGACCGTCGTAATTAATTGGCTCTTTTTCCCTTTGTCCACCATTCACGGAGCGTTATCCGGCGTTTTTGCGTGCCTTCATTTAAATGCAAATTAATTTACCTTCGCGAAACGAAACGGCTTCCTCGGTACCGACTGTTTCCAGACCACGGTTATTTTTCGTTGGTAAGATCGTAGTCGGGCGTTCAACTTCCTTCCTGATCGTTCGCGAGCTTGTGATCGCTATTCGTTCCCGATTACGCGTTCGTATATTATTTTTTTATTTAGAGTAAAGTCGGCTACTAACTCTTATTTTTTCACAAATTAATACAATTCAATGAAATTCGTTGAATAGTTTACAATTTCAACAGTACACACTACAACGTGCTTTTAATTATTACGTTACTGTTAGCAATGGATATTATTATTATTATTATTATTATTATTGTTATACTTGTAACCAAGTGTACTTAAAATTTAACAGACGTTTTGGAATACTAGAATTTTCAACCGTATTAAGAAAAATTCAAAGTATAACGAACCTGAATAATAAGTTTATAGTTCGTAGTATACACTTACTGGCAAAAATTAAGAAATACGTAATGCAGATGCATATTCTTCGGTGCAATAAACGTTCTTAACATATGATAAAAATGTTTATTGTGTCGACGCAAATATTAATTTCATTTTTTTATAATTATTTAATTTTTATTTTATGTTTCCAATTTTTACATTTTTTATTGTCTATTTCTTTTAACTGTTTTTTTATTTCTATTACTTTTTTCATTCGTCACATGCACCAAATAAAATAATATTGCAATATAAACAATATGTTATATGCTATATGTTATATGTATATGTTATATGCTATATGTTCTATATGTTATATGCTATATGTTATATATGTTATATGCTATACGTTATATATGTTATATACAACAATATGTCGTATATAAACAATATTTATATGCACATAAATGTACTCTTAATTTAATAAGATCTGTATGTATTTACTAAAATATCGAATTTTACTCAAATATTAACGATATGTAAAATTTCTCAACTTTTGTCGGTAAATGTATATTCCGCCTTGCATTTCTGTGAGAGTAGCACGACCATAATAAAATATCTTGTTCGAAGAAAAAATGACTGCGGCAAAAATACCGTAGATAGATTGACCGACAGTAGAACATATTCCGAAAAATTCTAATTCATGATCCGTTACGGGTTGAAAATAAGGAAGAATAATTTCGAGGCGATCCTGCTCGGTCGAGTGATTAACTTCGGCGAATTTAGCGATCTCTGTTTTCAATTTCGAATCGACAGGATTAATCTCGGTCGCTGATTCGAAGCTCTGCGGTTATTCCGTGAACGGGGAATCGACGGCGTCGCAGCCAGTAGTTCATCTCCATTCTAATCGCGGCGATTGGCAATTTTACGGGCAGCCCGACAATTTGCAGGGAGAACTTCGGTGAAGCGTGAATTGTCGCATCTTCAAAGTAAATAAATCGAGTTGATTGCACGCGCGTACTCGGCACCTCGGTTTTGCGGTCGCGGGGTCGTACGGCACTGATTCGGCTCATGCAGGACAGTTTATTAATTTCATAAATAGCTGGCCCGCTGTAATCGAGCTTGTCAAGGGTGGACCGTGTTTGCGTCATTTGCGCCGCGGTCACGCCGACCGACAAGGAGTTTCCCCGAATTGAAACTTTCGTAGTTGTCGAACACAGTGGTTGAACGCGCCGAAGTTCTCCTAGTAACGCCATTTTAAACTACGTTAACATGCAGAATTATTGGAGCGCACTATATACAATGGGCGTGAACAATTATAGACTCGAAGTAACTTTCGCATTTTTTGGTGATATTTAACCCGAGAAAGATAACCTACGTCGCAGAGGCGCCTGCGAAGACTGTTGATTTTTGTTAATTTTTCATAGAGGTCTAGTGATTTAAGTTTAAAATTACTTAAAATATAAAAAAATATAATATAAATGCATTTTATTTTTACAATAATGCCAAACCTTTAAAATGACTAGATTAACTTAAATAAATATCCATTGTTAGTATAAAATTGACGCCTTAGAAAAGCATGCGCCTCTGAAGCGTATGGTTATCTTTTACGTACGTTGTCATATGGTTATCTTTCTAGGGTTAAACAAAAACTTAACGCAACATCGTATTTGTATACTTCCACGTGTATCAGAGTTGGGGAAAATGATATATAAAAGATAAAGACTAACGAATAAAATTTTATTCGACATCTATCGAATATATATTCAATCGATAAAATTTTATTCGACACCCATCGCATAAATAAAGATTTATCTAGATAAAAATTTAACCGAATAAAATTTTATTCGAATCAGAATTTATTCATACAGGAATTCGTACGGAAAATAATTGATTTGAATAAAAAATGATAGAATATAAAGTGTTTTTTTATGGTTCACCGATTCATTTCTTCCATGTTGCTTTTCCGAATTATTCGAATAAATAGATAGAATAATGAATAATGAATTTTATTCGAGTAATTCATTATATAAAATATTCGACTAAAACGAATTCGTTCGGATAATTATCTTATATAAATATTTATTCTACACAGTCCGAATAATATCCAACTCTGATGTACATTAGAAACAATAGAATATAAAAATATACGAATAGAGTCTAAAAACATAAAAACTATTTTGAGTTTGTAATTATTCGCAGCACTATAGGTGACCTCTTTTAGCCGTAGCATCCTGTACATTTAAAAAAAATGAACGAAAAATATCTTATTTGCATATTTCTACGTTAGAAATAGTAAGCGCGAGTTAAACGTCATAAATCACATCGTGATACATTTACGCCAGCGGCGGGCCCTCGGTTTACCACATTACGCTCGGCTTCGCAACTTATATAAATTTCATCGTTTCACCGGCGAAGCTACTTCATCGAAATCACTTCCGGG